TTCGTGAACTCGAGTGAAAACAGGGCACTTCTGAGAAAATTTTGACTCGACCTATTCCATCATGCCTCCTAACGATCACAACACAACCTTAAATCGCAAAACCACAAAACTTGGCACGGGGATACCACTTGAACGCTTGAACTCTTCACTTGACACAAAAACAAAAATAAGGAAACAAAAATAGACCTCTGTTGGGTTTTCTACCAACAAGCGCTAAGTTATCGTCATTAGCTTGACGGTTGATGCCACCGAGAGTGGATCCTCCACGCTCTCGGGGCGAGGCTTGTAGCCTCCCATCTTATGCTCCATTAGGTGGCCCTCTTGGTCAACCAACTTAGCTTTGGCCTTCTCCTTCCTTCGGGCCAAAGCTTGTTTCATCTTTTGCCTCCAAGCATTCTTCTTCTTTTCCTTGGGCATATAGTACCCTCCTTGACTTCCTGCTCAACATCACCACAAGCGACACAAGTAATAGTGGGGTTCACCTTGAGAGGCTCTCCTCCACTCACATTCACATCATTCGAAACCAATTCCTTCACTTCCTCACTTCTAGCCTTAGGGTCAATTTCAAGAGTGATTCTCTCCTCACCATTCCGCAGAATTAAGGTCCCCTCATTAGCATCTATCAATGCCTTGGCGGTGGCGAGAATGGGACGACCGAGTGTGAGTGGCATATCTGAGTCCTCACTTATGTCGAGAATCACGAAATTAGTCGGATAGCAAAACTTTCCTACTCGCACCAACATGTCCTCCATAATGCCTCTCAGGCTAATGACCGAACGGTAGGCTAAAATGATGCTAATCTTAGTGGTTTTAAGTTCACCTACTACTAAATTTTTGAAAATCTTATAGGGCATCACATTAACACTAGCTCCTAGATCCGTCAAGGCATTTTCTATACGATGGTTACAAATACCAAGAGGGATAGTAAAGCTACCTGGGTCAGAACACTTTTTGGGAAAGCGGTTGAGGAGGAAAGCCGAACACTCCTCGCCAAGAGTCACGTTGGCGAGGCCTTAAAACTTTTGGTTTCTTGGTGAGGAATTCTTTGAGGTACTTTGCATACCTCGGCATTTGAGCCATGGCTTAAAGGAAAGGGATATTGAGGTGGAGGTTGCATAGCATTTCCATAAAACCTCCACACTCGTTTTCCAACCTCTCCTTGTACATCCTCGTGGGGAAATAAAGGGGTGGCTTGTACTCAATCACAAGAGGTGGTGTCGGCGATGCCTTCCTTGCCACTTTCTTCTCTCCCCTCGGGGGATCATCCTCTCCATCCTTCGGGTTGGAATCTTCCTTCTCACTCACTTCTTTAGCGGCAACTCCCATAGTCACCTTTACAGTTCCCACTTGAATTGCATTCACCCCGGCATGATCCTTGGGGTTCGCCACGGTTTGGGAAGGTAGGGCTCCCTTTGGTCTCTCGGTGAGGATCCCGGAAAGATTTCCGATTTGCACCTCCAAACTTTGGAGGCTCGCAAGATGGCTTCGGAGTCCCGCCTCAACCGAGGTAAACTTGGTAGTCGCCACATCCATAAATTGCTCAATCTTCTCGAACTTTTGAGCACTCGTGCTCACAAAGGTGTTCATTAGGTCTTCAAGCTTGGATAGTTTGTCGGGTTGTTGTTGTTGTTGAAACCCTTGGCCACGTTGTGCTTGGTATGGTTGTTCGAAGCTTGAGATTTGGACTTGAGGCCTTTGTTGGATGAAGGTTGGCGGAGGTTAATAATTGTCCATGGGGCCTTGAAAACCCGGGGGTCTAGGATTAGTTGGTGATGACCAAGCAAAATTGGGGTGGTTCCTCCATCCTAGATTATAAGTATTTCTATATGGGTTATTAGCTCTAGCATTCGCCATGAAGTTGACTTGTTCCTCCGGAGTGGTTGCCTCCTTCATTGCTTGGCACTCCGCCATCTCATGGCTAGTGCTCAAACACCAATCACAAGATATCACCGACCTCTTTCCTTGCTTCTTATCTTCAAGAATTACCTCGATCAATTTGTCAAGATTCGCTTCAAGTGGAGCGCTTGCTCCCACACTCCTCACTCCTCTATCATTACTTCTTTTCCCGCTCCTCATCAAACCCCAATCGTACCCCTTGAGCGCCATGTCTTCAAGCAATTCAGTCACTTGCGGTGGAGTCATATTCATCAATTCCCTTGACACAGAGAGTCAATGAGAATCTTGTCCTCTTGGATTAGTCCATCGCAGGAAGTTTCAATCCGAAACTACTCCTCGAACCCATGGTGAGGGCATTGAAGAAAGTAATCGGAGAATCTCTCCCAAGCATCCCGCAAGGTCTCGTCTTCTTCTTGCTCAAAATGGGTGATCTTCTTCCTCCACTCTACCGTCTTCAAAGGCGGGGAGTAGCGGGTCATGAATTTGTTGAGAAGATCTTCCCATGAGGTGATTGAAAGAGGAGGGAGGTTGGTTAGCCACCTGATTGCTTTCCCCACAAGTGAATAGGGGAAAAGCCTTAATTGCAAAGATTCAGCCGACATGCCATTGATTTTTAAGCTCCCCGCGAGCTCCAGGAATCTATGCACATGCTCTCTCGGTGACTCGCTTAGAAGACCGTGGAACAAAGCATTATTCTGTATCATGGTCACTAGAGCTGGCTTGATCTCGAAATTGTTGGCCGCCACGGGAGGGTGTAGGATTGACGATTGAATGTTCGCCGGCCGTGGGGACATATAGTATCCCATTGTCCTCGGGAGTTCCTCTTTCGCCACCGCATCGTTTAGGTTACGAGCTAGGGTGGCTCCTGCTTCTCTTTGGTTCCCCACCATTTCTACTCCAATGCCGGGTTCACCTTCCACTTCTTCAACTTATACTCCACCAGCACCGGGACCAAATTGTTGCCCCCTTTCTTCACTTCTCATCCTTGCCTCCGCTAGCTCCCTCTCCCGTGCTAGGATTCGGAGAGTTTGGTTTATGTCCTCGTCGCGTGGTATCAAAGGTGTCGGATTGCTCCGGGTCATGCACATTCCTACACACACTTAGAAAACAACACCAAGTCTAGCACAAGCAAAGCACACACACTTTCAAAATTGGAAATTAAAAGTTAGATTAACACCAAACAACTTTTTCAAGATAACAGAACGGCTTCCCCGACAACGGCGCCTAAAACTTGACTCGTCCCTTCACAATAATTTCCCACCTAAGGCCCAAGTATAAACCTTAGATGGGTGCAATATAGGGCAAGTATGTTTAAATATCGACTCGGGCCCGGTCCGTGTACCCCTACTTCAATTGTTTGAAACATTATCTAGCGAATCTGTTTTGGTTGAAAAGTTTGCTAATTAAAGCAAATCAAGGCAAAAGTAAATGGTTTTGAAAGCTCTATGTGAGAAGGGTCACTCGGGTGTCGCTTCCCCCTAACTACTACCATGGTATGAGGAATTGAATTAATTGTTACGAGCAAGGTGACCGTGAACCGCTAGGAAACGCAACTATGGTCGTAGACCACACTCTCGTTTGCCAAACCAAGGGATGCAATATAGGCTACTCAAGTAGCCCTTTTGGTTAAGGCAATCGATAGTTGACTTACTCTCTCACTCAATCCAATGGTTGGTCGGCTTAATCTCGCTTAGCCAAATTGTTTAATTCAACTTAGAGGTTTGCCCTACATTAACCTATATATGTGGCTTAAAAAGCCCAAGGAATCCCAACTCAATTGAACCTCCCTTGAAAGGGGATTTTCCCTCTAATATAGGTTAGAATGGTCAATTGGATTGCTAAGCACAAACATGCACAATCAACATGAAAAATACCTCAATCATTGATTAAACAACACCCATAAACAATCATTCAATTCACATAACAACTACATGTCCAATAGTTAGGGTTTCACAACATCCAGGTGAAAAAGAGTACCACTTCATGCTAGAAAGGGGAAGAACACAAGAGGAAGAGGTAGAAACTATCATGGAGATAGTGGACCGTTTAGCCTCAATCTTCACGGTCTTGTTGATCGTGAACTTATCCCGCGATAGTAACTCCAGATTTCTTCCTGGACGCATCGTGGTTCACGGGTTTGGGCTTCAGTTCACGCCCATAGTGGACCGTGAACTCTCATGCTAACCCGTGAACTCCGCCTGGATCACCCTCTTTGCCCGATTTTCGCCTCTTTTTGTCCAACTTTCGACTCCGTGGCTTGTTTCACTTGTTGGATCATGAAACACACTAAAACGCATAAAACCTAGCGTAAAACCACTCTTTTATGAGTTCAAATGCTACAAGCGCCCAATGGAAACGAGGATAAAATGTGTGCAATTAGGCCCGAATCACTCAACTACTACGGCTCCATCCTCTCTGTATCGATACCTAGCTAAGAGTTCAATATCTTTTTGCCAAACTTGTCACTATGAGGAATGAAATAGCAGTGTTCGTCGAGTGAGGGAAATGTTCGTTCTTGTGGGCAAGATGATGAGAGATAAGAAGGAGATATGGTAATTGAAGGACGAGATATTTTTTTCATTTGTTTTAAAATTTCTTGGGTAAAAGTTAGAAATAATTCGAATATGTGGAATTTATGAATTTTATATGTTTATTTGGACAAGGCTATGACACTGCTCGTTGGTCGTTAGTTAATGATTTTGACCATCTAACTTAATGTCCAACACTCGGGTTAGACTAAATAAGTCATTTTGGATCTAGAATAGACATTTCTAAAAAAAATTGATCAGGAGGAAAGTTGATCAGGAGGGTAAAGTTTAGGTCAATTTAAAATATTAACCGTTTTAAATTTGGTCGTGAAAACCAAGGATTGAAAAATCGTAATGTTCTGACGGTTCGACTAGAAAAACCATTCATCGAAAGTGAAAGATATGCGATATGTAACGTATGAAATGATTGAATCACAGTTTCAACATAAAATATCCAACCGCTTACTTTTCCTGTATAACTTTCAATATGATTTTTTTTAATAGGCTCCAATACGATTTTTCAATCCTTGCTAAAAACACAATTATGGCCGAAGACCCACAATTAAACGGACCTTGGGTTTGGGAACAAGGAAATTACCCAAAACTAACTGTACCTTTCTTCGAGTTCACACTCTCCTTCTCCAAGCACTGGCCCTCCGCGAAATCCACCCTCAGCCTCCCGCCGGCGAAGAACACCATCAGCTCCCCGGCCGACGAGGTAGTGGCAGGTTACATTGCTAATCGGCGTCGTGTTTCTGACATCTCTCCTTCCCGAACTGTCGCCTAAAACCTATATAGACAAATCTATCTCCGAGTCCGCCGTATTAGAATTGCTCTCCGTCGCTGCAGCTCTTACTTCAACACCGCCGCTATCAAGAGAGGTAAACCCAATCTCATGTCTCGACTGAAAAATAGATTTCATTGGATCTGCAACTTGGGAACTGGATGTTAGGGTTTCTTCGACATTTGGGAAATGGAATCTCACGTATTGCACCTTCCCATGTGTTTATTGCATTGTAGTAGATGGAATTGATGAATACTTGCAGCTTCTAGAAGTTGTTAGGACATGATTAGTGCATTCCCCAGAATGACAGAAGAGTTCACTTGTGAGTTTTAGGTAATGATTGCTGTCTGTATATCTAAAATGTAGAGGAGATGACCTTAGTATGATGCTTGAGCTTGAAGATAAACACTGATTGAGGGTCCTTAATCAGTATATGGCTGTATATTAACTGAACAATCACTGCGCTTCTCTTAGCTTGATTACCTTCTATTAGTGGGTGGAACAGAGTTGATAATGGCATTTGGAAACTGAATAGCTCGTGTTTGGCTGCTTTTTCTTGCTTGATGAAGATTCAACTTAGAAAGGAAAGAGGTTCCTGGCTGTCACACTAGTCCTCCACTAAAAAAAATAAGATCTGTGGGGAATGGTTTACTTACCAATTAAATCTTGAGCATTAAATCTTTAGCTAAGGACCGGAGTAGCATTGCAAAGAAAGGATCCGTGGAGGTACAGATTTTTTAGTTTCTACCAATCAAATCTTGAGCTTGTTTGTAAAACGCAGCTTATGTTTTTGGTTTGTGGTGGTCAGACTTAATGGTAGGATTTCAATCGATATAGAGTGATTTGGTATCGAGGGTTTTAGACAGATGAATCTTTGAGGATCATTTGTCACCGACTGAGTGAAACGAAAAATTTCCTGGATTTCTTGCTTGATTCTCTAGCTTGGCTGATTTATGGGTTTTTTCTTCATCCATAGCATATCTTGAGCTTGCTTTGACTAGTGGCCAGAGAAAGAATCATTTGATAGGTTTTATGTCATCAAAAGGATTAGTAGTGGGGGAAAACATCCATTGGTAAATCAACTCTGTTTGTAATTTTGGTGGTACCTTCGCTGTAGTTGAGTATCTTATAATATTACACTATTATGGTATTGTGAGGGAGACATACCCTTGGTAAAACCATTGCCATCATGATTACAAATCAGCAGCTAGGTTAGGCTGAAGGTGAACTGGAGAGGGTGGAAAGAGAAAAAACAACAGAATCGGGAAGTGAATGAATGAAATGAATGGTAGGTGACTTTTGAAGCTGCTGAGTGAATGAATGAGCGTAGTTGTTTGTGGTGGTGATGGGTATAGTTGGTGAGCTGCCTGCTACCCTCTTAATTGATCATTATGTTATCAGACTCTTCCTTTTTCTTATTGCTCAAACATAATTATAGTTTGTGTGTTCAATTAAGCACAATCCAGAAATCAAAAGCCACCATCTGGGAGTTGTAGCAGTCCTCAGAAAGCACAGAACTGTTTGGATTTTTTAAATCACCATCTCATTTACCTCTCTACCCCTTTGAGTTGCTGCTAATAGAATAAAATGACGGCCACTTAACCTTACTTGATTATATGCCGACCACTTAATATCACTGCTGATGATACAAGAACCAAATTATTGAAACTGTGACGTTAAAATCGATTTGCTAAACTTAGCACTATAAGACCTGTTTGTCTTGTAATAAAGCTTGGTGTCATATATATCCACAATGCATTTAAGCTGCCTTAAAAAACGTCATCACTTGTCACATGGAGTGTTAATAATGTTAAATATACTTGCACGAAATTTGCCTATGGCATTCTTGTCCTTTATATCTTTATGCTGTCTCTGGTCTGTTGATTGCAAATGTCCTTATGGAATTGAAATGTCTTTCGAAAATGTGGAAAAGCAGTGTGATTAGATACACAGTTGGAGGGTTGGTCTTTTCTACTAATTTTAGAGTGGTTATGCGAGTTAGAATCAGCCAAATCAGCATTGCCAATTAACTGAACCTTACTATGATAACCTCTGTCAGGTTTTATATGAGGGAAGTGTAGCGGTGTTATGATTTTTTTCCTTTTGAACATCCGATTTGAGTGAAATTTGACAGCAAATGTCAAAGCCTGGTTTTAGATGATACTTTGTTAATGGCGCTGGCTATGGTTTTCAAAGTCCTAGTTTCTCAATAGTACCATTCTTGTTTCATCCATACCGTTTCTTCATGATGGCTGCTTGCCTTGTTGTTCTTACAATGTGACAAAATGATTTCCTTTTCATCAGTTTAGTGTCTTTGTTACATCCAAATTTTTATTCTTGGCTTTGTAATTTTCAGGAAAAGATCGTTCAAAGAAAAAAGAAGAGAGAAGAAGTTTAAAATAGAGTGAGCTGCTTCGTCGTCACTAACACAAACCCTTTCCCTCTCATCACAGCTTAGGTATCTCCTATATCTCTGCTACCCCCAGAGCCAGTCCTGATGAATCTGATGATTAGTAGCTAATTTTCTTCCCTGCGCACTCTTCTAATTACTATGAACTGAAATTGTGGATCGATTGTGAGGCTGCTGTACCAATTATTGCTTTAAACTTTGAAGGCTAGATGGGAATATTAGCAGAGAATTAAGGCCTCAGCGTTTTCTGAATCTTTCTGAAGGCTTTGCTGGAAAGTCTGAACTAATGGTTGGACATAGTTAGTTGTTTTGTTTGATAAATTCAATGTTCTTAGGAGATCTGAGTTGTAACGTTTTTGCTCGGTGACAACAGGAACAGTCAAGTGAAATGGGGTCTCACAGTCACCACAACCATCGCCATTGTCCAATCCCTGTCTCCTGTACACCGGCTGCTTACTGCTGTTCAGGTGGCTGCTGCAATGAGAATTCTCCTTACTCGCCTACTGGATCACCACTTGACCCACTTCTCGTCCAGTCCGTTACTGCCCTCCTCCACCAACAACAGAACTATCAGCAGCACCAGTGCTTAAGTCCTTGTTGTTTTCCACCCAGCAGAGTTTATACCCGCAAAGATCACTGCGAAACCCCTCACTCTCGTTCTCAAACCCAGCATTCTGGCATGCTGCCTCAGAAGGGTTCAACCAGCTTCTTTATCTCATCCCTGCTCCAAAGACTTGAGGCCTTGGAGTCCTCTCTGCACCAGCTATCTTCCACTTCTGCTGATAAGTACCCGCTAAGAGATGCTGCTGCCAGGGTAATTCAATCCCATTATCGTGCCTTTCTTGTTCATAAGTCAAGAACTTTGAGACAACTCAAAGACCTGGCCTCTATCAAGTCTACCTTCAACTCTCTCACTGCTTCTATATCCGGGAAATCCAGTTTCAATTTTGAGCTAGTGTCTCAAAAAGCCATGGACTTGCTGCTCAAGCTTGACTCTGTTCAGGTGAATGATTCCATCTAAAATTGTCTCCTTTCTCTTCGACGCTTCGCATATTTGGGTTTTGATTTATGGGGGTTTCGATTACTTTGCAGGGTGGTGATCCCATGGTCAGAGGTGGGAAAAGGTCAATGAGTAAGGAGTTGGTTAGGTTTCTGGAACTTGTTGATAGTTCTAGGAAGAAGACAATTTTATATAAATCAGCTACAAAGGCAAGACCAGTTGGCTGCGGGAACAAATCTGGTGCGAGGAACGTTAGTACTGGCTGTGGAGATGGGAGTACGAATCGAGAGGAAATAGTGCAGAAGTTGAGGCACAGGGTTGGCAAGATTAATGATGGGTTATCTAGGATGTGCAAGCATGACGAGGAAGGTGTAGATTTCGAAGGGTTTCAGTATGACTTGATTGCCGAGGATGACATTTTGGAGGAAGAAGAGGATAAGAAGGTGGTTTGGAAACCCAAAAAGAGTGGTGCTGATCAACATCTTAGAGTGAAAAATAAGAGCGTAAGCTTTGCCGAGGATGAGAATGTTCACACTTTTTTGGCTGATTCCCCTGGGAATGGAAGTAATTCCTCTTCGACTAATGATGATGTTGAGGAGCATTATTCTGACGATGAAGTTGAAGCCACTCTGCTTACGACTGATAACCAGAATAAAGAGGCTCCATCACGTCATGGAATGTTATTGGCGCAGAAAAGGAAGAACCATGGAACCAATGTGAAAGCTAGTGTTGGTATGCATGAAGAAGACGGAAGTTTTTTCGTCTCTGCGCCAGTTCCTGCAAAGATGGAGTCAAGGGCATATTCAACAAATGCAAGTAGTGCTGCGAAAAATGTCTCATAGTCATGGCTTTTCTATGTGAAACGTTTGTGCTGACCACTAGTTTTCAACTTCTCAACTCCAAACTGCTGTGTGATTTCCGATTTGGATTGGGTGCCTATTTTCTCTTTGCTATTTTTTTTTATTTTTTTGCTCAGTCGTCTTTGCTTGTAGGGGTAGACGGTGGAGGTATCAATGTTTAGAGACTTGATTATTGATTACCACTTTCACTCAAGATCGGAGGGATAACTGAAATGGAATGAAGCAGTTGATGTGGTCGTTCCTACCAGCAGCAGCAAATGAAGCAGAAGTTACGGCTCCTTTCGCCTGATCAATGGGACTAAGCAGCAGCAGAATGGTGCTGTTTAGCTGATGAAGTTTGTCTGCGATTCCAATAGAACAGAGAGCGTGTCTGTAACATATGGGACGTGTTGCTGGGCCTGTTCATTGGCTATTCATATCCGATGTGATTAGACTACTAGCGAATACTGTAGCGCTAAACTTGGGTGTAGGTCTGTAGGATCAATTTCATTAAGTCCCTTGAGATGAAAAAAGACGGTTAAGTTTTTTTACCTTTTTAGTTAAAATGTATCTTCTTCGTTTTAATTCGTTAAAAAAATTTCAGTCACTTGCTAGTCCCTATTACTACCACCCTTTACTTCATTTGTTTTAATTTGAAGTTAAAAAATTTTGGTATCGAAGAAACGGATTTATTGTAATTTACAAAAGGGCTAATATCACTATAAGACCATCTTCATCCCTGCAATAGGTTAGCCATTTCATAAATGAACCCCACATCCACATCATCAACTTTAGCAATTATTCAATTCAACAAACCACCTACATCCCTACAATAGGTTAGCAATTACAATTGATGTGACCTACTACATATTCTTTTCCTTAACAATACATTTGCATAATAGATAATAGACTTTTGAAAATTCAATAAACACAAAATACATAGCATACACCAAATAAAAATAAAGAAAAATTACATAATGAAATACAAAAACTGCAAAAAAATACAAAAATTCAAAATGAAAGCAAAAAAAATACTAGACTACTCGTCATCTTCCTCTCCTCCAAATCGATTCCAAATCTCTTCAACTATACATCTTTGTATTAAGTTTTTGTTGGGGGTATCACTAAAGGAGCCCAAAGGAGGGCCCAAGAGAAAACCCATCCGGTCAAGGGTAGCCCAAGGCAAGGGGCCAGGAGAAGAAGCCCACAAAGCCCATGGGGCAGCATAGGCATGGAGAACAAAGCACTAGAGGCCAAAGAGGTCCAAGCTGGCAAGTGGTCCCCCGCCCGTGGGCGCCTGCCAACAGTCAGAAGCCTGACAAGGTGGTTGGGGCTTCTGACAGGAATGATGGTACAAAGCATTTAATGAGATGGTGATGTGGAGGAGATCCATCTCGAATTCGGTGAGTATAAATAGAGGCAGTTGGTAGCCTTTACACAGGTTGGACTCTCTCACTAAAACTCTGGCTCTAAAGCACTTCTCTCTCTAAGTTACTGACTTGATCGTCGGAGGGCTAACGGGCCGAGGCGCCCCCCTCTGTGCTAGTGTGTGTAGGCAGGCGCCGGACAGAAAGGACGCGGGCGTGTTATCAGGGCATCGAGGCTCAAACAATTGGCGCGCCAGGTAGGGGAATATAACCAAGAATCATGAGTGAGGAGGCGCCTATGAGTGGAGAGAGAGAGGAAATCACGGAAGACCAGTTCGAGGGGATGAGGGGGTTGACGCCCGAGATGGACGAAGGCGAGGAGAGCGATGGTATGTTTCGAGGGTCGGAAGGCGCCTCGGTCACAAAAAAGGAGTTGTTTAGGATCATCGAGGATCAGGATGAGGCAATCGAGGCGCTTTGACGGGAGGTGGATGCCTTGAAGAGGGGAGAAGGGATGACGCCCAGCCCGAACTGGGCACTTGAGGCGCCCAAGCCTATGGCGCCCACTTGACCGCGGCGGCCCGGACACCAGTGGATGGAACAGGGGAATCCTGTGGCGCCTATCACGCCACTGCTCCGTGAGGCAGCCCCTGGCGCGGAATATACTGATGGAGCTCGCAGGAACGAACATTCCCCCACTCCCAACTTATAAAGGGACAACGGACCCGGATGATCACTTGAATGGATACTTCACCAAGATGCAGCTTTACAACAACTCAGATGCTACCCTGTGCAAAGTGTTCCCGTCGACCTTCGCGGGAGTGGTCCTTGACTGGTACCATCAAATAGAAGAGGGGCGCATTGACTGCTTTGAGCAGTTTGTGGCGTTGTTTTTGGCAAAGTTTGCCTGCAGGAAGCGCCGCTCCCTGACCATAGGCGCCCTCTTCAAGGTCAAACAAAGAGAAGGGGAGGCGCTGAGAGAATTTTATGAAAGCTGGCTCTCGGTAGCCTTGGGAGTAAAAGACGCCCAGCCGTCGGTGTTGGGAGTATGCTTGAACGAATGCACCACCAGCGAGGAGCTGTGCAGGGCGCTCGCGAAGAGGGACGTGGCATTCACGGAGGATTTGGAGCACCGAGTGCAGAAGGTGATCATGCTCGAAGAAACTTTGGCGGCCAGAAGGGCTGATAGGCGGAGGAAGAGGGTAGAAGAAGTTGAGACGATAAGGAGACCCCATCCCTCGAGTGGACCAGGGTATGCAGCAGTAAATCACCCCCAACCCAAAAGAATGGACGTCGGGCGCCCGACGTCCAGGGGGGCGGGAGCCTTCGCAGAATATAACGATTCGCTGAAGAACATACTCCAGCACGTCAAGGAGAAAGGATATCACATCCGGTGGCTGGGCCCCATGAGAGGACAACCCAATGAACGAAACTTGGACCGATATTGTGATTTCCACCGGGAGGTGGGGCATCACACGGCCGACTGCTACCAATTGAAGACCGAGCTGCAAGGCCTGACAGATAGGGGGATGCTCAATGATTTTGTCAAGAAGCCTGAAGAGAGGGTGCACCGTGCATGTGTAGCAGGAACAGAGCAAGGGGCGAGGGAGCTGCCACCCCCGCCCTACGCCCTCGACCAAGAGAAGGCACCCGAGCGAGTACGACTTACCATTGAGTCCATTTCAGGAACGGTAGATTTGAGGGAGAAGTTGGAAGCAAACCGCCGACTAAGAGCCGCTTCGGCCGATGTACAGGAGGCCATCGACATCAGTTTCAACAGGGCGCCCGAAGAGGCGTGCATTCTCCCATCCATGGACGCCTGGAGATACAAGGGGTGGTGGCAGGGTGAAAAGTAAGGAGGATGCTCGTTGATACGGGGAGTTCCATGGACGTGTTATTTAATGATACGGTGGCCCGCATGCAGCTAGCGCCCGAGTTAATCAGACCATCAGAGTCCGTGCTGGTCGGATTTTCCGGGGCGCCCACCAAGGTGATAGGGCGAGTGCGCCTGCCTGTCACTTTGGGCGACGGGGAACAAAGGGTGACGCGCGCCATTGAATTTGGGATAGTGGACTGCCCATCACCATACAATGCGATCCTAGGAAGACCCCTCCTGGCCTTGTTCAACGAGGTGGCCTCTACTTGTCACCAAACCTTGAAGTTCATCGCTCCGCAAGGAGTGGGTGTAGCTCGCGGGCTGGGCGCTCCGCGTTACGCAAAAGAAACTGGGTGCAAGCGACGATGCACCGAATCAAGGATCAATGTGTTGGAGACCGCGACGGAAGAGGCACCCCGAGCCGAAGCTGCCGACGAAGAACTTTTGGTGGCTTTGGACGAAGGGCACCCGGAAAGACAGGTGAGAATATCGGCAGAGGCGAAGGGTGAAATGAAAGAACGCCTGATTGCCCTTCTAAAGGAATTCACAGAACTTTTCACATGGAGTGCCCTGGAGATGCCGGGCGTCGCACCCGAAACGGCCGTGCATAAGTTGGCAGTCGAAGAAGGCAGACGCCCAGTGAAGCAAAAACGCAGGAACCTATCGCCAGAGAAGGAGGCGGCACTTAGGGTCGAAGTGGACAAGCTCCTGGGCGCTAATTTGGTCGAGGAAACTGCCTATGTCACCTGGTTGTCGAATGTGGTCTTCGTGCCAAAACCATCAGGAGATTGGCGAATGTGCGTAGACTATACGAGCCTCAACAGAGCATGCCCCACGGATGCTTACCCGATGCCCCGCATAGATCAATTGGTGGATTCCACGGCATATCATGAGATGCTAAGCTTCTTGGACATGTTCTCAGGATACCATCAGTTCCCCATGGCAGAAGAAGACCGACCAAAGACGACCTTCATGACGCCCTTCGGGGGGAACTTTTGCTACAGGGTCATGGCATTCAGACTCAAGAATGCGGGCGCCACCTATCAAAGAATGGTCAACGACGTCTTCCGCAACAAATCGGTCGTAATGTGGAGGCCTACGTAGATGACTTGATAGTCAAGAGTCGTAGGCGCGAGGATCACTTGGAAGACTAGTGGGAAACGTTCCAAGCCATGCGGACGTACAGGCTTCTTCTCAACCCCCTCAAATGTGTGTTCAGCGCCGAAGCAGGGAAATTTTTGGGATTCATGATCACCAAGCGGGGCATTGAAGCCAACCCAAAGCAGGTGGACGCTATCCTCATACTTGCACCCCCGAAGACGCCCAAAGAGGTGTAAGGCTTGGCAGGAAGGTTAGCGGCCCTGGGGCACTTCATCCCACGGTCCGCCGATAGTGCTGCCCCTTTCTTCCGAACGCTCAAAAAGGCGGTGCGTTTTCAGTGGAATGCTGAGTGCGATGGAGCGTTCGAAGAGCTGAAGCAACTCCTAGCCGCCCCGACCGTCATGACGGCGCCCAAGGCAGGTGAGATGCTGTACCTTTACATCGCCGTATCGGAAGTCTCGGTAAGTCCAGTCCTCGTCTCAAGGGAGTCCCCCTATGGAGAAGACAAGCCAGTATACTATGTTAGTCGTACCATGGTTTCCCACGAAAAGCGATATGCACCCATTGAGAAGGCCGCATTAGCGGTAGTGATGGCAGCGATCAAACTGAGGCCCTACTTCCAGGCGCACACCATCATAGTGCTCACCAACTTACCATTGAAGTCCATATTAGGGTCGATGGATGTGGTCGGGCGCCTCGTCAAATGGGTGGTCCAACTAAGCGAGTTCGACATTCGGTATGCGCCCCGACCAGCTATAAAGGCCCAGGTCTTGGCAGATTTCGTCGCGGAAGGAGTAGCAGAAGCAGAATGGGGGGTGGATGACTGCTGGCATGTTCAAGTCGATGGGGTGGCCAGTCGCACTGGCGCCGGAGCAGGTATCGTAATTATAAGCCTAGGGGCGCAATGCACGAAGTCGCGTTGCGGTTTGCGGCCCTAAAGACGAACAATGCCGCGGAATACGAAGCAGTTATCGCCGGCATGAGTATGGCCAAGGAGCTGGGCGCCTACAAGATTCAAGTTATGTCCGATTCGGCCCTCGTTGTTAACCAACTCAACGGAGTCTTCGAAGTAAAGGAAGAGGCGCTTGAAGGATATGTGCAAAGAGTAAGAGAGATGGGAGCCTGGTTCGGGGAAACCTCCTTTGTGCACGTACCCCGAGAGGAGAATGGCCATGCAGACGCCTTATCCAAGCTAGCAACCGCAGTGGATTTCGTGGAAGAGAGGAAAGTCATAGTCACCGTCGAGGCGCCCCAGGAATATTT